AATATAATAAATTCTTACCAGACGAACAAGTAAGAGGAGGAGAAAGAGCAAATGAGGGAAGGAGGGTGAGAGGCAGAGGGAGTGTTGGGGGTGGCGTGTAGGGTGAGACATCTGGCCTGTCTCTCCCTGCAGACAGAGGGGCAGAGCAGGGACTTGAGAGAGGCAGCGAGCACTCTGTGAAGGAAAGTCGTTTTGTTCTTTTCTTCCTCAAGTAATGGGTGGCAATTCATTAACTTAATAAAAATAGACATTGCAGATTTTCTCTTCTGAAGTGCTACCCTAGAAGCATGTGTGCACCTATGAAAGAAGGACAGACCTAGAATACTATTTTTAATTCTCTATCTTTTATGAAGAACACGTGAAATGCTGGGGACGTGTGCCTTCACTTGTGATACCCATGATAAATGATAAAGCAGATGACCGTGTGCTAAAATGTTCTCTTTAATTGGACAGATACAAGTCACTGCCAGAAGTCAGGAAAAGCAAATGTCAGGAAATTCTATTGCAAAGTTTATACTCAAAATTTAACCGGATAATCCCTATGTTCCTGCCTCTTATGAATATCCTTAATTAAAACAGAAACCAATTAAAATCTCATTGAATTTAACCTTCTGTTTCCAATAAAACAGTGATCTTGTTGATTCTTACTATCTCAGAAAGTTCTCATTTTAAATTCAACCACTCTAGGTAAACACACGAATTCTAGTGTGTTTCTTCCCATTACTTTCACTTTCTCCTTGTGTGTATGTGCGTATGTAGAGATAATTCTGAGAAAGACCCAATGAGTTGGTCATTGCCTTATCACAATTGCAGCACAAAGCAAAAATAAGTTAACATTGATTTTCAAATGTTTCAATTTCATACCTTATTTATATAAACCATTATATCCCTGGATTAAATAAGAACTTAATGCTACTTAGATTTTATTTTCATTGTGTTGGTCAAACTATCTTGAATTTAGATGTCTTCTTTCACAATGCACATGTGGTCTTCAGCCAATTCGTATGTTTGTGAGCATCTGTAGCACAATCATTGTTGGAGAGGCATAGGCGCTCTCACTCATCATATCTGAAGAAAGCTGTTCATAATATATATTTTACTACTGTGTGCAAGTGGGACAAGTTAAATATGTTCGTGCTGCCTAGGGATTAATTTTCTTTGCTGGAAGCATTTATAAATGCTATCGAAGTGTCTATAAATCCCCCAGAACTGCAAGGAACACATTGAACATTTTGTTCTACTCAGAGGTCACATGTGTATCATCAGGTCTGTAAAGGGGTTTATGATTTAGAAAGGTTAAACACTTTAATGTTAACAGAAGAAATTCTAATTCTATACTTCTGCTGAAAGGTGGAATGTTGACATTAATTATTTGGAAATATTCTGGCTGGGATAGTTTTTTTTTTTTTATTATCTCCCATTTGTTTCTGCTTTTAATCTTTTACTTACCAGTTTGCACTCATGGATACTATATATGGATGGACAGATAGATAGACAGATAGAGATAGAGAATTGAGATTACAGAGATAGATATAGCATGGGCATAGACACAGATTTAGGATTAGATAGTTAACTATGGAGTTGTTATGAAAGTTTCCTGAAAATTTATACAATATAATTGTCCCTTTTATAGCGCAGCTAGAGGGGCCAGCACTGTGATCCAGCAGGTTAAGCCACTGCTTGGTATGGTGGCACCCCATATCAGAGTGCCGATTTGAGTCCCAACAGCTTTGCTCCTGATCTAGTTGCCTGATAATGACCTGTGGAGGCAGCAAATGATGGCACTATTGCTTTGGTCCCTGCCACCCATGAGGGAGACTCAAATGAGTTCTAGGCTCCTGTCTTTGGCATGGGTCTGCCTCTGCAGTTGCAGCCATTTGTGAAGTGAACCAGTAGATGAGAAATCTCTGTCCTTCCCCTTCTGTCTGTTACTCGTTCTTTAGATAAACAAATAAATCTTTAAAAATATATGTTCTTCTCTGTTTCTCCAATCTTTTGGCAATATATGATTAGAACCTGATATGTTAAGGAAAACAATGGATGCTTGTGTTGTAATGGATGGATTCATAGTTGAGAAAATGATCCCATGAGTATAAAAAATACGTGGCCTGCACCTCGGCTTACTAGGCTAATCCTCCGCCTGCGGCGCTGGCACCCAGGGTCCTAGTCCCAGTTGGAGTGCCGGATTCTGACCCGGTTGCTCCTCTTCCAGTCCAGCTCTCTGCTGTGGCCTGGGAGTGCAGTGGAGGATGGCCCAGGTCCTTGGACCCTGCACCCTCATGGGAGACCAGGAGGAAGCACCTGGCTCCTGGCTTCGGATCGGCGCAGCGTGCTGTCCTTAGTGGCCACTTTGGGGGTGAACCAACGGAAAAAGAAAGACCTTTCTCTCTGTCTCTCTGTCTCTCTGTCTCTCTGTCTCTCTGTCTCTTTCACACTCTAACTCTGCCTGTCCAAAAAAAAAAAAAGTGAAATGTCATTCAATATTTGTGTACTTCTTTTTTGTAAATGTCTTAGGAGGTCTCGTCCTGCGAGGTCCGCACAACTAGGGAGAGTGGGGCGACGATGTTCCTCCACAAGAAGCACTGGGGTCAGGCTTCAGTGAACATGTCTGCTTTAATAACAACCATCTACACTTTTTGAAGGGCAGGCAGAAAGGGCATAACTAATTCAGGGAAACATTAACTCCATAGGACAGAACCAACACTGGTGCCAATATTCCTCTCCAATCAGCTTGAAGGTCACGTAGCTAGGGTAGCTTTCCAGGTAGGGATTTTGGACATCTAGGAAACAGGAAATACTAAGAAATCAGAACACTGGATCTATCTTAAGATTAAACACATTTTTAAACAACTTATAACAGAAATTGTTAGTCCTGATAACATTTAATTAACATTGGTTCTTAAAATAGTTTAACTGGGAAATGTCTTTTGGAAGACATTAATTCTTCTTATTTGAAGGTAAGATGATTATCCCAAAATATTTTATTAAAATTATAAAGGTAAACCTGTAAATTTTAAGGTTATGGTGAGATTTTGAATAAGAGGCACACAATTTATTAGTAATTCCATTTTAAAGATTATTACTTTAGTAATTTACTTGCTATCATGAATGATTTGTTTTATCATTTTATCATAATTGTCATATGCCAGAAAAATATAAAAATGATCAAAGCCAATTCATGATTTTCCAAACACACGTATTTTTATGTACTAAATAATATTTTCTTAAGATTCTATTTAGTTGGCATGTCTTACTAATGACTTTGGTATTCTAGCTTTTTAATTATCTGAATACTTTAACTGTTTCGTGTTCTAACTTTTGTCCATTTAAGTCACTCCTCCATTTTTGGCTTATATTTGAGAGGTGGTAGGGAATATAATACAGTTATTTTTCCTAGTGTTATGAATGTTTAGACATTAAACTATTAAAGGATGAAGATGGTAAGATTCATCCTTTCTATGTTGATCCAGTAAATGAGTCAGCTAAGTATTAGGGAAAACTGTAACAATAACAGAAACAATAACAAATACAATATATCAACTCTACACATGTCTCTCTGGGGAGAGAAAATGGACAACATCTCAATTACACAAACACAATTCCATAAACAAGATTTATTTAATCACCATGTATTGCACTGAGATACTGTTTTTTTTTTCTATTTGATGCTTATCCACATTGCAGACTTCCAAAAGTTCTAAAAAGATTATTCAGACTTTCAGATTTTAAAAAATCAAAAGTTAATAAGTTAAATGATTCACCTTTGACTACAAGGGCCCACAAAAATATTAGCTGATTTTTGTGAATCTTTATACCCATTCATAAGAACTAGCAAAAAGTGTGGTCCTACAAAGGATTCAATATGTATTTTGATTGATTCATGAAAGACGTTGAGGGATTAGCTTTTTTCACTATATTTCCAACATATTCTGATTTCAAAGCTTTAATAATTTTTGAGATTCTTTCTGCTGATCCTTCACCAAACTAAAAGTTATCTTGAAATGATTGCAACAGTGTAAGAAGGCTATAGATTCTGTACATAATCTTGCTCTAGCCACCTACATATTATCAAATTTTCTTTTATTTTTACATTTTAAATAATAATTATTTTTGCCAGTAAATCTGAACTTGTAGATGAACCTTTTGATAATTCTTCAACTTTGTGCAAAGGAAACATAAAATTCCTTATTATTTAACATTTAACATTAAGACAAAGATGAACTAGAAACAAGAAAAATAAAATGAGTCAATTAGACAATTTATAACTGAAAATATTTTTAGTCTTGGATAGCTTTATGTCTTACACAGTTAGAATTGTTTAGGTTTATAAGACCAATACAAAGTAATAATTAGTTTTAATTAGAAAACCATGGCTAAACAAATATTTTGTGGAGAATGAAGTTATTTATGTAAACCATTCTTCATTTTCAGTTGGTTTTTAACACTTGTTTCTATGGCATACTACAGGGCAAATGCGTCCACTGAATATTTGTTTTAAATTCTCATAAGATGCTATTCATTAAATTGCCTTAAAGTAAATGTTACATTTATTTGGGATCCTGACTGAAAATATATCAATATGCATAGGTTGTACTTTAGTGTTTGAATATTCCATTTCCACTGTTCTCCTAAGTATTAAAACAAGCTGCATATGATATGAGGCAAAAGTATAAAAATCAAAGTACAGAAAGTTACTCTTTCATTTTTAGCAGATAATCATTTAATAATGTACAGAAGCATAACATTGGGGTTTTCATAAATGAAAAAAATTATTCATTTGAAAAATCTTAAATTTCTACAAATGAAATTTGGGATAATTTTCATAGCTCATTTAAGAAAAAAATGTGGTCCTTGCTATTTAATGCTTCCTGTATATAAAGATTGAATAGTAATTTATATTAGTTCACTGAACATACATCCTCACAATTTTTTTGGAATTTTTGCGTCACCATATTCTTGTTTTGTTTTTTCTCACTTTTATAATTTATGTATCATTGCAGATTAAAAAAATCAACAGAAACTTTCCTGTAAACCAGCAGGTAAGACTAAGACATGCTTGGGAAACCAAGTCACATTTTTTTAATTTTATCTATTATAAAAGATAACCTTGATGTCATCTTATTTTTATGCAGAAATAATTGTTACTAGCATTTGTTATCTTTGGGTAAAGCATAAATTTAAAAAGCTATCTTTCAAATGATGCAGTATAACTATATTTCTAATCATAATAAAATATTATTTAAATATTTTTATCAAAGTAAACTAAGTTAAAACTCAACTTTTTTGACAAGATAATTGTGTTTATTTCAATGCAGTGTTGAAGAACCTGGTAAGATGGTTTTAGTGTGTCTGAATTTTTGGGAGACCTATTTTTAATTGATCTCAAAGTTTGAGAGATATTGGTAAAATTTGCTGACCATGTTTCAAATGAATTTAAATTAATATACAGAATGAAAATATTATATGATTAATCAAACAAGGTTTCATAAATTTGTTACTCTTGACATAAACTTTGACTTATTATCATTGATCAAATCTAACTACTCAAGATGGTAACTACTGAAGATGGTACATAAATCACAAATCAATTTCCATGGTAAAAAAACTTTAAGTCCCCTTCAATCGTTAAAACATAAGTTTTCTTAACAAAACTTCAACTACTCTATCTGTAACATTTATACATATGCAGGATATTTATTCATTTGAGGATAAAATGATAAATGGTTGTAAATTCTCAGTATATGCTATTATCATTAATGTTGCTAAATTTTAAACTTGCTCTTAGGAATAAAGAATTTATGTTTCGTGGAAATTATGTCATTAGTGATGCTGCTAGCTCATACAACCATGTGTAGCAAAAATCCTCATGAGAGCAGCTTAGCTTTGAAGAGGTCAGTGTGTCTACTGTCTACCAAGCTCTGAATGACGTCTTTTCAGCTCTGAGCAATGCCTCTTTCCTGTCTTGAAGCCTTCACCTCTGAGCCAAAATGATATTTGGAGTAGATGCAGAGCTTGGAGACAACACTGATTTTTGTCATTTTTTACAGCAAGTTTGTCATTGTATTAACAATGCAGAAACCAGAGCTGCAACCCAGAGCCTGGGAGAGTATACTTGGGACACAAGCTGTGTAGTTCCCATCCTGTCCTAGGTGACCCTGACACAGGTGCTGCCAAGGGAACACCTTGAGAACTAGAATTTGTTGACTTCATAGGGCTCTAGTACAGGGGAAGTATAATTAGTGGGAAGTCATTCAAACAGAAGGAGGCTTCAGCCACAGGAGACACTGCAATGTCCATCAGTAGACAGAGCAGTTTTATAGTCAGATATTCCCATAAAAATGGAAATCTACTCATTTTGTGAATTCTTGCCACAAATAAAAATGATGGATATTTCTCTGATTTAAGAATGCCTCTAAGATCTGTGTCGTCACCCCTCCTTGTCCTTTCTAACCTCGACACATGAAATATGAATAATTGGTGTAATTTATTTTACTGTGAGTGTCTCATTGCCCTGATAACCCCACAGCTATTCTTTACTCCCCATGACAACTACATCTAACACTTCATATGTTGCAGAAAACTCTGAGGTACAACAAAACGGTAATGAATTCATTTGAGCAAGAAGCAATTCATGAATCAGAAAACACAAAATCCAAAGGGGTTTAGTGCTCATATGACAGAGCACCAGGAGCAACTATTTATGGGGAAAATGATGAAGCAAAATAAAGAAAATATTCATGGTTACAATTATATCAGGACACTTCAAAAATTTGTGAAATGATGCAATTAAAGGATAACTTTATTTTGGCACATAAATTTTTGAAACTCAAGCAGTTTCTTATAATGCATATTTTCTATTAAGTTTGTGAACTATGCTGATACAATTACCTGAAAGCTTCTAGTCATATAATCATAAGTTTATACGCTACTTCTGATTGGTTGAGTAAGTTCTGTTTTTCTTTAATGTAGGCCTAAAATTAAGTTTTGTTTATGTTCGCAAATCAAGCAAGGTTGAGGTCACTTGGAAGCCCTCATGGGGATTGAGCCATCTCCTGCTCCCCTTCAGGGCATATATTAGGAGGAAGCTGTTACAGAAAGGTAGTAACCGGGACTCCAACTGCGCACTCCAGGTTGGGAAGTGGACATCTGAATCACCCTGTCAGATACTCACCCCACCAGTTCTGTTTGTTTTGGTTTGATTTAGTTTTAAGATTTATTTATTATTAATTTGAAAGGCAGAGTTACAGAGGCAGAGGCAGAGAGAGGGGGAGAGGGCTTCCATCCCCTGGTTTACTCTCCAAATCCAGAGCTGGGAGGATCTGAAGCCAGGAGCCAGGATTTTATTCTGTGTCTCCCACACGGGTACAGGAGCTCAAGCACTTGGACCATCTTCTGCTTTCCCAGGCCATAAAAGAGAGCTGGATCGGAAGTGGAGCAAACAGGACTAGAACCGGCTCCCACATGGGATGCTGGCACTGCAGGCGGCAGTGTTACCTGTTACACCGCGGCGTCAGCCCTGTCCACTTCTGTTTTTATCTAAGTCTGGAATAATATTAAATGAGAACCTGAGGTAAAATTGCTTGTAGAATACAAGCACTAAAAGCACTAAATAACACTAAAAGCAGTTGTAGTTTAACACTGTATACCTACATAACATTCTAACATGTACTTATATTTAATCAGCATAAATGTGTCCTATTATTCTTTTTTTTTTTTTTTTTTTTTTTTGACAGGCAGAGTGGATAGTGAGAGAGAGAGACAGAGAGAAAGGTCTTCCTTTTGCCGTTGGTTCACCCTCCAATGGCCGCCATGGCTGGCGCGCTGCCGCCAACACACTGCGGCCGACGCACTGCGGCCGACGCACCACACTGATCCGAAGCCAGGAGCCAGGTGCTTCTTCTGGTCTCCCATGAGGGTGCAGGGCCCTAACACTTGGGCCATCCTCCACTGCACTCCCTGGCCACAGCAGAGAGCTGTCCTGGAAGAAGGGCAACCAGGACAGAATCCGGCGCCCCGACCAGGACTAGAACCCGGTGTGCCGGTGCCACTAGGTGGAGGATTAGCCTACTGAGCAATGGCACCGGCCTCCTATTATTCTTGCATTTTAATTTGCAAGTATTTTAATAGTCTTAATTATCCTTAAATTTCATTTTAAATCTCTACATATCATAATTTCAAAATCCTAATAATTTTTTCATGGAATTTTTGATAGTTGAAAGCAAGATTTAATGGATTTTTTTCCCTTTACTGATTTACAACATGTAAATGGACAATTTGGGGAAATAACACTAGTTTATAGAGCAATATTCATATATATGCCTAACAGGAAAATTCATCTGCATGGCATGATAGCAATACATTGGAAGACAAGGATACAATCCCTATTTAATCAACTCTGGGCCCTTTAGGAAACTGAAATTTAAAAGCTATACAAGTATAATCCCATTTCTGATTCACACATAGCATTCAAACAAGATCTTGTGTTGGGCTAGACTACGTTGAATTGTTGTCACTCAGATTTCTTTCTAACTTTATTTCTATAAGATGTTTTGAAACTTAGACTAGAAATACAAACCAGGGTGCTTTGAAAAGCTATATAGAAAATGAAATTAAAGGGAAAGTTTATTTTGGTGCACAATTTTTTAAAGACTCATGCATATGAGAGTTTTTCAATAAGTTTATAGATTATTACTCCCTCAAAATAGAAGTTGATAATGAATTTCTTCTGTAATTACCAAAAAAAACTATAGAAGATTAATTAATCATTAAAATATTAATATAGCAACTCCTTTATACTATGCATGTCATGCAAAATAATATAATTAAACATATATAGTAGTTTGGATGATTTTAAAAGTAATATTCATCTAAAATAAATTATTAACTTAGGTAGCTCATCTTCTAGAAATACTCATATTTGGCTGTCCATAATGTGGGCACATTATCATAGAAATATACAGAGAATACAGAGAATGCTGGGAGACTGGTTATTGCTATTTGTGTTGGAGAGGGCTAAGGATTAAAGGATGATTTAAAATTTCATTTCTGGAGTATCATCAAAGAAGAAAGAGTGGTAAAGGCCTCCAAACATTCACTTCTCTAAATGCAAGAAAAAATTAGAAAAATGATTTGATTAAGATCATGTTTTTACAACTGCAAAAACTCACCAAAGTCATGCCAAGCTCGTTAACAATAGCAGCTAAATCTTTAAAAGAACAATGAACTTTGTGTTTTTTTTTTTAACTTAATCTAGTATATATTCCACTCACCACCAATATGGGAACTTTGAAAATAACAGCTCACTTCTGTGATCTGACTTTCTGGTCTAAGTCCAAGTATCATTCAAAGTCCACTTGCCTAAAATGTACAATCAAGTAAGATGCATTTTTGTCTCATTAAAATTTAGCTTTGTTTAAGATATGTAGGTATGTGCATGTGTGTGAGTTTTAAACAAAATATCCTATTAATGAAACTGGAAATAGGTCATTACCTGGAGCATTTCGCAATACATTTTTTTCCAACCAGAGGAAACTTTTTTAAAAATTACTGTTATGTATATTCATAACTGTAGACAACAAAACATGGCATTTCATAATCTGCTGACAATGTATGTGTTGTCATTCTGGTCTGTATTATACTATTTGGTAATAAAAATTGTTGGCCATTGAATGATTTAAAGGATGGTCCTTTTCTAAAAAGCAATGGCTTCATTTACTTTAACTCTTGGAAAAGTAGATAGCTTATAAGTAATTGTTAGAGTACAGTGGCAGATGTTTTACAGGAAAGTGATAAATTATTTTAGACTAAATTAAACAACCTACACCTAATTATGCAAAATTTCATTATTACATAAAGATAAATTTACTGTATTTTAGAAAACTTGGAAGAAAGTGATTTAAGTGTTGGAAAGCTGTGTAATATGAGTATATGTGTGTATTATTTATACATAAACATGGAGATTCATTTTTGGAAAAGCTGTCTTAAATTTCATTTGCTTTCTTTTTTTTTTTAAGATTTATTTATTTATTTGAAAGTCAGA